AATTTTAGCATTTTTAGTTGTCTTCTTTTCTTCCTCACCCCAAGTTTGCGATTTTTCCCACTCGTCAGTCTCCATATCTTCTTCGAGTAAGAGCTTTTCCATGCTCTCCGTCACTTCTTTCGGGTCTAATCCTTTCTCTTCTTCAGTTTTTTCCAAAATTTTATCAATTTCAACTTCTTTATTCGATACCGTAGTATCAAGATTTGGATTAATAACTGCTCCAGCAGGTATTAATATAGCAGTAGATACCGAAGTATCCAAGTTAAAATCAGAAGATGCACTAGCACCCGCTGAAGAATTAGTAGATACCGAAGTATCCAATTTTGAATGAGTGATGCCCGGAATTGTTGTAAAAACTCCACGGCCTTTTCGACGTATTTCAGGTTTTTCTTTAAATTTTTCCATAATTAACTGAAAATAAAAAAAAATTTAAATTATTATTGAAATAGAAAAAAAAAATTGAAATAATAACGCGATCAAAATGGAGGATTAATGTGAAAGGGGAGAAAAATAATTTTGGAAAATTATGGATTTGGAATGTGAAATAAATTTTAATTCGGGTATGGAATGAGATTTATTTTGTGTGTGTATTTATTTACCATAAGTTTTGTGTGTGTATTTTTGGAAAAGTCTAGTTTTATTCAATGGACAGCCTACGGGGTTTTGGATTTACCCTTAAGTTATATCTCTTTTGTCTTTGAGGTGGGATTTCTTCTAACTCTGGACTCTTTTCTCTCTCAACTGTATTTCTAACCTTTTCAATTTCGTTATTATTTGTAAAATCTTGTGTCTCGTTTCCTCCTAAACCTGCCTCATCTAGGCATTGCTCTTCCTCAGGTGATAATCTGGGACTTGTACAGGCAGGGGGTAATTCTTCAAAGCATTTCTTTAGTTGGTTTATGTGAACTACCCTTGGAGCTGCGCTAGGTGAATTGCAACTAGTAATTGTTACGTGTGGGCCTTCTATTTTTACAGCCCTGAATATACCTTTCCAAGGCATATGAAATTTTTTCGAAGTTCCTACTTTGCCTGCATAATTTCTCAAGAGAACTCTGTCTCCTACCGTTATTGTGGGGTTTCTTAATAATTTATCATATTGTTCCTTAGCTTTTAGTTGCGCGTGCTTGTTCGCTTCCGCGGCAGCTTCCCATGCAGTCCTTATTGATGTGACTAATTTTTGTTTAAATTCGGAAATGTCATTGCTAATCATAGAGTTGCTTATCGAAGGGTCTATTATTTGATCTATACAAAATATGGGATCCCTTCCAAACATCAGGAAAAAGGGTGTTTCCCCTGTAGAAGTGTGAATTGATGTGTTATAGCAAAAGCTCGCGGCGTCTATGAGTTCGTCAAAGTCTGGCTGGTCTTTACTAATATATTTCGAAATTATATTGTGGAAAGTTCTGAAGGATCTTTCCGTAACAGCGTTGCCTTGCGACCAGTGAGGGGTGGCATAACTTTTGTTTATATAGAGCATGGAGCAAAAATCTCGGAAAAATTCGCTGGTAAATGCAGTAGCATTGTCTGTGATTAGTTCAGTGCAGCCTCCAAATTTGAGGTAGCAGTTAGTTAAAAATGCGCGTGCTAGTGTTATTGCTTTTGTGTCTGGGACTGGTACCGCAATTACATATTTCGTGAACCAGCAGATTATATTCATTAAATGTTTGTTTCCTTTTTGGGTTACTGGGAATGGCCCTGCTAAATCAAGCCCTACTTTTGCGAAAAGTGTGTTGGATGGGACCATATACATTTCAGCTCTGTATGGAGGATTGGGTGAATGTCTTAATTGGCAAGTTATGCAGTTGCGCGTCCATCTTAAAATGTCGGAGTGCATTCTAGGCCAGTAATATTTTCTACATTTTTTGAGAGTTTTCTTTAAGTCCATGTGTCCCCCGCCTAATTGTGATGAGTGGAATGAGTCAAAAATTAGTGCCCTAAGTGAGGCTGGTATGAAAAGCCGTGGTTTCAAATCACCTATTTTCTGATAAAGTACCCCATTTGATAATTCAAGGTTCGCAGCTGCTAGTGTAAAATTTTCTTCATCCTCTGCGGGAATTTCTTTTGGAATTTCTCCTGAAACTATAAACTTAGTGAAGGCTGAAGCTTCAAAATCATCTTCTTGTTCTTTTAAAATATTGATTGAATATCTTTGCCCGTCCTGTCTTTTTAGCGTTATTCTCGGAATATAATCTTCTATATTTAAAACTTCGTTTTGTTGTAGGTTGAGGCATACTGGGAATTCTGCTATATCTTCTAACTCTTCACTTTTTGTGTCTTCTTTTGTGATGGCTCTTGAGAGTGCGTCAGCTAATAAATTTTCTTTACCTGATACATGAACAATTTTTATAATGTAATTCTGTAACTCTATTAGCCAGCGCGCTAGATTCGGGTGTGCTTGTGCCTTTTCCATGAGATATGCCAGCGGTTTATGGTCAGTGTGTAGTTCAATTTCTGCCATGTATATAAACGGACGAAATTGACGCAGTGCATAAATAATTGCGCCTAGCTCAATTTGTACTGGGGGCCATTTGCGCTCTGAGTTTGATAAGGATCTGCTGCAGTATGCGATTGCTTTGTAAGTATTTTTCTCTTTATCTTTTTGCATGAGTGCTCCACCTTGTCCAGTTTGCGATGCATCCGTGAAAACATGAAATGGTTCATTGTAATTTGGAAATACAAGAACTGGTTCGCTGCTTAAAATCTTTTTAATTTCTTCAAAAGCTTTTTGCTGTTCTTCTTCCCATTTGAAAGTAATTTCCTTACGAGTGAGTCTAGTGAGAGGCTCAACAATCATTGAAAAGTTTGGTATGTGTTTTCTGAAAAAGGAAGCCATCCCAACACAATGTCTTACTTCCTTGAGGGTTTTAGGTACTGGAAGGTTTGTTATTGTTTCTACTTTGCTTAGACTTGGGGAATAGCCTGAGGAATTAATTGTGTGTCCTAGAAAGTTCATTTGGGTAGAGGCTAGTATACATTTTTTCGGGCTTACTTTCAGATAATATTTCCTTAATCTGTCAAATACTTGCCTAAGGGCATCGAGATGCTTTTCAAATTCAGGAGCTTTGGTAAAAATTAAAAAGTCGTCTACATAAGCTATGACACTATCTTCAAGTCCACTAATTACATGTGCCATTACACGTGCAAACGCGCTTGTCGCATTTTTAAGTCCGAAAGGCATGTGAGTCATTTGATAAATTTCATTTTCAGTTATGAGTCCACATTTGCGTGACGCTCGCTCAGTGAGCCTAATTTGTAAATAGCCACTGGACAAATCTAGCAGTGAATAAAAGCTACAACTTCCTACTTTTTCCATAATTGTTTCAAATCTAGGAAGTGGAAAGTGGTCCGGAACAGTTATTTCATTGAGTTTCCTGAAGTCTATGCATGGTCTGAGTCCTCCGTCCTTTTTCTGGACAAGAACAATGTTTGAAACCCATGGTGTATCTGACTTAATTAAAACCCCTGATTTAAGTAATTTGTCAATATGTTCATGGAATTCTTCTTGGTACTTAAATGGAACTCTGTGAGGTCTAGTAGAAATAGGTTCATCAGTGGTTGTAATTATGTCATGTTCCCCTACTAAACATGACCCAAGATCATATTGACTTTTACTAAATATGTCAGAAAATTCTTCGCATAGGTCCTTTAATTTTTGTAAGTCATTTCCCGTAACAGAACTTTTTGAAAAATCTATTTTAAAAGCAGGGTCTTCATCTAAAGCATTAACCATATTTTCAAGTACGCGAAATTTATTTAATTCACTAAAATTATTCTTGGTATTTTCTGTTAGCCACGGCCCTTCATTACTTTCCCTTAGTTCATTAGCATAAGCTATGTGCATGCCCTTACAAATATGTTTAGGAGCGTTGGTTGGATTTGTTATTAATAAACTAGCAATTTTGTCGGAAGCTTTAAACACAGTACTAATTAAACCTAGATTTTCAGAAATTAAACGTTCGTCTAGTGAATGTGAAATTGCATGTTCAAAATCGCAAGTGGTTTCGAGTTTCGCATTAACTATTTTATTTGTCCCTGGAGGAATTGTTATAGATTCAAGAGTTGCAATCCTAACATTTGTTAATAAAGGTAGGTTACCTGTGCCCAAGTTTAGTGATTTATTTCCAATCCAAATTTTCCCTTTTGGAAAGTCAAAGGTTACCGTCGGCAATGTTTTTAGTACGTCGCATCCTATTATTAATTGGTAATTTCGCCTCTCAATTAATTGATTGTCCTCTACGAGATTAATTTTAGCAATTTGTTTATGACCACTTATATCCATAAGAACGTGCATTGATGCATTAGCTGAGATTTCATGCCCTGAGGCTGAGGTTATACCTATTTTTGTGGGTTCTATATTTGCGTCCAAAAATTTAGCTAAGGATAGAGGAGCAATTGAAATGCTTGCACCAGTATCAATTAAACAGTTAAGCGGTTTATTATTAATTAAAATTCTTGTTACTGCGGTACTCGGGTAGACTGAATTTATTTGATGTCCTATTGTAAGTGTGTTGACTGCTGGATCCGGTGTTATGTCTGGACTAGGATACTTAGATACCTTGGGGATCCATGATTTGACCTCTTGTTTGTTTTCTTGTCTCAAGCCATTTTCTTTTATGTCATGAGAGTGATTAGTAGATGCCGTAGCATCCAAAGTTTTTTGTGTACTATTAAGTACATTTTTCCCAATTAATAGTCTGCCTAAACGCCCATTTCCCAAATAGACTTCTAAAATTTTCAAACCCCACCTAATAAGTAAGTCTAGGGTTAGGATTGAAATTAGAATTGTTGCTATTACTTTCCAAGCCCAAGTATAATCACCTAGTGCTTCTTTTGTTAAATTCATGCTTGCTTCTTTCCACTGTTCTGACAGTGTTTTAGTTATAATCATGTCTTTATTTTCAATTCTGTATGAGAGTTCACTAAGTTTGGCAAAATTAGTCATGTAAGTGTGAGTGTTAATGTCTGTTAGGTTTACCAAGACTAGTTGGTGAAATGAGTGGGCCTTAATTTCAGGTATGTCAAAAGCCCTTAATTCATTCTTTTTAATTAATCTTGGATGAACCGTTTTTACTTCCCCAGTTAGTTGATTAATTTCTAAAGTGTTATGGTTCAGTTCTAAAATTAAATTTTTAAATTGTGCACATGGTGCTTTCTTTGATGTTGGTTGAACTATCATTGTCGTTGGGTCTAAGAACGCCAAATGTGTTTGATTTTCAGTAGTTAGTTGAATGGGAATGAGTTCAAAACATTCTTCTAAGTTAGTTGGAATAAAATTAAATTCTTCTTCTTTTAGTGCAATACATGGCCAAATTCTCAATAAAGAGGAGCCTTCACGTTTTGCAATTAAATAATTATTTCCAAATATTATTCTTGCAAGTTCAGTGGGATTAGAAATAAGCGAGGCTAGTGCCCATCTTTTTACTTCTTCTAAATGGTCGCAGAGTGCTTTAAGTGAGTGAGTAAAGGCAAATGTTAGTGTTTCGGCTAGTTGTGTGTCAAGATACGTTAGTTCAGCAGCCATTTCAGGCGAAGTTACTATACCCAGTTTTTCAGTGTTTAAGCTTCTTTTAGGTCTTGTCGATTTTATTGTTGTGGCAAATCCTTGTTCTGAGACTTCTAATTCTATTCCACATTCAGTTAATTTATGAGGGGGTTTGTTAAAGTGTAATGCTATCTGTGCATCGTCTGAAAGCCAAGTATTGTCCAAAATTTTCCCATTATACTCCCCAAACTTTAAATATCTACATAATTGATTTTTATTTGGGACCCATTCAAGGACCGTTTTATCTTCCAGTGTACAGCTACCTTTAACATAAGAGCAGTTATTAGTGCTACCTAGTGGCGTTCTAATAACTGGTTCGCCCCAGTGCGAGTTAATTTGTAACTTAAACAATAAACAATTTTCGACAGAAACTTTGGTCCACCAAAAGGAACCTAGTAGCCACATTTTTGGACTAACATCTAATTTATTTTGTGTACTCCAGATATCATTTTCTTTAGTCATTGCGCCTAAACTACATTGCTTTTCTTTAATCATGCGCGTGCATTCTTCATTTGTTACTTCTAGCATTTCTGAACCTATTGCCTCATTAATTGGTACATTAGAGAGTGTGGTAAATTTTCTAATTGATTTCTTTATTTTTCTACAAGCCCAACCTTCTGTGGTATATTCTAGATCATTCAGAACATATAGAGACCTAGTTTGTGGTATTGGTATATGTGACACATTATTTTCTAGCGATGGGCAGTGCGCGAGTTGTGGTAATGCCCAAATCGTTGATTGTTTTTCCATTTGGCAAATCATAGGCATACGAGGTGTCGGGACGCTAAATGTTGCGCCGCAAGATGTTATTAGTGCAATTAGCATTAGTAAAGGAAATAGTTTTGGTCCTATGGATTTCGATTCCCAAGAAGAAATTTTTATTTCAGACTCCTTTTTATAATTATTTTTATTCTCATTTACTTGTACTGGCTTTTTATTCCCAACTTCAATAGAATTTAAATTTTGCTGTGAGGGTCCTGCCGAATTTTGAGACCCGGTTTGTAGATTACGAATTCCCGTTAAAATTTCTTTTAATAAAGTATCACTATACCTTTCATCTTTGCTTTGATTAGAAGTACCTTGTACCATGTGAGGATTTACATTTTGTCTGTTCATGTAGTCAGTCAAGCGGGTACGACAATTGGCGGCAAAATGTCCGACTTTTTGGCAGTAGTTGCATACAGGTCGACTGTTCCATCGTCGTTCGTTGTCAGGTGCTCTTATTTGTTGTCTGCTTCGGTTGTTTCCCTGAAAATATCTAGAATTATTTTGGTTTCTTGGATAAGACCCGTTCGGATTGTATCTCCAGCCATTTCGAGGTTGTTCTCTGTTTGGATTAGTTTGATTCAAAGTTTGAAACCTACCTGGCTTGATCATGTAATTGGATTGTTCTTGTTGTACGGCGTTCAATTGAGAGTGTTCGTGTTGTGTTGCATTGAGTGGAGCAGTTCCACTAACAGCCGGGAGCATTATTTCAACTTCCCGAGCGTCCATACATAGTTGTTCAAAACTTCTACCAGTTTGCGTTAAGTTCAATAATTTCATGTAGAACGAGATGCTTGGCTTTAGTCGTTCAAGTAGAAGTTCACATAAATGTCGTTCTAAAGCAGGACCTTCATAATCAGTTGCTGTTGCTAAGGCAATAGGTCTGAAGCGTGCAAGAAAGTCTTTGACATTTTCATTTTCATGTTGTTTGCAAAAGGAGAGTGCCTGTCGGGAAAGCACTCGGCGTTGTGGTGAATCTAATTCTTTTCTAATAAATTTAATTGCATCTTGGACAGTTGCCTTTTTAACAGGTTCTAGTTTTTCTAAAATTTGTTTCGGAGTGTCTTCTAAAAATAATGAAAGTCGATTTAATTTTTCTTCCTCAGAAAGTTTTGCCCCAAACACTTTGATTCTTTCTAAAAACTTTTTACTCCATTTATCAAATGTTACCAGACTGTCTTCAGAGTAGATTTCCAGAGGCGGTATTCCTTCATGGTGAAGCATATTGATAGTGTGTTCAGTATTTTGATCAATGTTGTCGTTTCTGTTGTTATCGTTGCTTTGGATGTTAATGTTCTGAGCAGCGTCGCTTTCATCTGAAAATGTTAATATTCGACTCTTCGGTGAGCTCTGTGGTTTTCGGCTTATAGATCTTATTATGGGTGACAGTGATCTAGATTTTTCTTTGGTCCGGGCTTCCATTCTTTCAGCACAGCTTTCAATTTGTGTTCCTAGGGTGGCAAATCCAGTGTTTACTTCCTCTGCAAGCTTGCTTAAATTTACGGAATTTTGATTGACCTTTCGATTTATAGCCCTTAGTGATCTATTAACTCCTTCTTCAAGCCTTATAGTATCAGAATGAACCTTTTCCAGATCAGTCATCTTGGCTTGGCTACTTAAGATTTTACCTGACATTAAAAGCTTGTCAACAACATTGACAGAGATGTCTTCTGTCTGATTAGATTTGCTTGATAATGCACCAGCATTAGCAAGATAATTAGTAGGTACCGAAGTACCCATTGGAATATTGGATGCCGAAGCACCAATGTTCGGAGGATCCTTAGACCCCATTGTAAGAATGTTTTTTTTTTTTGAGAGAGAGAGAATTTGTTGATTTTTCTTTAATACACAATACGACTTATGAGTTAGATCTGTCCCTTTATATATCCCTTTTATTTTATTGGACTTTATTCCTTGTTGTAATAGTTTGAACAAACAAAAGTTTAAAGCTTTTTATTCATTGGCTTAAGTTTGTTAACGTTCCCAGGCTTTTGTAATAAATTTATCTTATCGCTTTTCAATTAATGCAGTTTCTCAAAAGGAAAAAGAAATTATTATTTTTTTTTTGTTGTAATGCTTGAGAGCGAGAGCTTTGATCTCTCAGCAAAATTAGTTCCGCTCAAGGAGAAAGAAAAATTGTAAATGTGCACAAGAGCAAACGCCAAATTTATAAAACGCCAAAGCGCATAGCCCAAAATGTCACTAAAATTGATTGCCAGGCATTGGCCTTAAACATCGGGATCTGTGAGGATTAATTTTATTCAACTCGACTTTGTTTAATTCTGATTGTTTCGGATTTATTGACTCGGATTTATTCAACTCGGATTGTCCCTCAACACACGTTATTGTTATTTCTTATTTATTTATTTAAGTAAATACACACACTTATTTATTTAATTAAATACACACATTTATTTATTTAAATAAATACACACACAACCCCTCATTTTGGACTTTGTTTGAGTAAATGTGGTTAACTACTTATTTCACATTCCGATGTGTAAGTGGAAATAAAAATTCACGAAAATTCACGCGAGGGAGAAAAATTTACAAAAATTTACGAGAATTCACGAGAGGGGAAAAAAATCACGAAAATTTTACGAGAGGGAAATTAAACTGTCATATATTTAAAAATAGAAAGTAAAAAAAAAATTTAATTGGATTGAAAATTTTCGGACAAAATTGTTGAGTTTTTTTTTTTTGAAACTGTGTCAGTTAAAGGAATAATCAGAATAAAAAGAAAAACATTTGTCAATTGTTTGAGAGAGGAAATACAAAACATTTATTTAAACAGACTTTTCTTTGTAAGTAAAAAAACTTATCGTTAATTTTTCCATTGGGAAGTGAATTGACTAAAAATAAGACTAGACTGACTTCTCGGCTTTCAAATGGTCAGTGTTGCATATAACTTTTTCCATTAAATTTGACAGTAACTTAAGACGCTTGTTTTGCAATTTTTAATCCAAAAAAAACTTGATAAAGACATGTTTTTGTTTCCATTTGCTTTTCAATAAAAGAACAACAAATATTTAGAAAATGTTTGTTGTTGTTGTTGATACTAGAAAATGTTTGTTGATACCAGAACATGTTTAATTACAAAACAAGCACCAATTTTTAAAGCTCTAATTTTATAATTTATGAAAGCAAAACATTAAGTTTGTAGTGTAGTTGGAAACGACTAGGTTTTGAGTCTATAAAAGAAAATGCGACGAGGGTTCGAACCCCACCGGTTGTAAGAATTTTTTTTTTTGAAAATGAACTTAAAATACAACAGTAATACATAAAAGACTGAAATTAGGCCTGTAATATAATCAAATTTAATTCACAAAACAAGCAAAAAAAAAATTTCTTGATTAATTTTAGGAATTATGGATTTAATAAAATTAATTTTCTCTCTAATAGAATTTTACTAGTATGTATTATTAACAGACGAATAACACTAGAAAAGGAAAGAGGTATTAACAGAGGATTCTGTATAGAAATAGTAAGAGATGAATTAAAGCGCTAATAAACAAAATACAGAATAAGAAAAAAAATTTTTCTCATTTTCAAAATGTCAATTTTTCGGATGAGCCCTCTCTTCTTTTTCACTTTACCCCCAAAGAGTCAGTCTACTTAATTTTCATATTAAATTTTATTTTCCAATTAGACTTGGACTAGTGTTTATTGTAGCGAAAATAAAGTGAGAAATAAAAGAAAACAGCAAAATGTGTGTGAGAAAAAGTAGTCGTAATAAAAACTAAAAACCAGTGACTATTTTTATTCTTTTGTATTTTCGATTTAAAATGGAGAAAGGTTAAAAATTAGCCCGATTTAAGAATGGAGAAAAAAAAATTTTAGACAAGAATAAAAATTAAAGGAAAATTTTCTCTCATTTTCAAAACTCAATTTTCGGCTCTTTTTTTCATTTTACCCCAAAAAGTCAGTCTACTTTATTTATTAAATTTTATTTTTCAATTAGAATTGGATTAGTGTTTATTGTGGCGAAAATCAAATGAAAAATAAATAGAGAAAACAACAAAATGTGTGAGAGTGAATAGTCGTAATAAAAACTAAAAACGAGAGACTATTTTTATTCCTTTTTTTTTTAATAGAGAAAGGTTAAAAATTAGATAGATTTAAGAATAGAAAAATTTTAAAATAGCAAAAACCTTTAAAAATAGAGAAAAATGGAGAAAGAATTGGCGAGTACAGTAAAGGAATTGTTTATTAAAATTCTGTTATATAAGTCGGATTTTTTTTTGGGAGCCAATCAACACTTGATAGTCATCCGTGTCGAGTGGTTTCTCATGAGTCTGCACCATATACTCTCTAGAATGAGTGTCAAGTGCTTTTCAAACAAAAAAAATTTTTTTTTTAAAGTTAATATACTTAACACTTGATACGGATGTCATGTAGGAGGGTGCACTTGACACCCGACAAAACAGTGGGAGTGTGCACTTGACACTCGACAAAATACTCGACACGGATGTGGAGTAGCCTAATTTAAAAACATTTAGTATGTGGCAAAATCGCTTTCACGGGATCCTGTAATTTTTACCATTTATAAATTTTAGTTTCAATTACAATTTCAAAAACTGTTTTGTAAATGTTAAAATTAATTTTCAAAAAAAAATATTTTCCGGAGAAAAAAATAAAAATAAATTTTATGTAGCATTGAAAATACACAAATGAAAGATCAATTCATTTTCCTTACTAAAAATAATATAAAATGAGAAAAGGCTGACTTTTTCTAAATGCAAAAAGGTTTATTTTTAACCGGCTCCGTCTGACACGACTGGCAGAATTAATTCTTATTTCTTTTAGAGAAAGAAGAGAACAAAAAAAATTGTTTAAAAATGCAAAGTGAATAATAAAAATGAGCAAAACACAAAAACAATTTTTATGAGTAAGAAAGACTGTGTATAGGCCAAACAACAAAATTGTATTTTTAAAAAGGCGAAAATTTTTTTTTTTTTTAAATTTCAAAAGCCGTAGGCCAAAAGATCACTTTTTTTGCACAGTCTGGGGGTTGCCCCTCTCCACTAACCACCCTCTATTTATAGTCTAGCCTTAAATTATGGTTTTTGACAGATGAGAGAATAAGCACAAAGTATTTTTTTTGAATAAGAAATAATAGATTTTTCAAAATGGTCTAACTTGAGAATGATAATTTTAGAAATGGTCAAATTTGAAAAATCAATTTTAAAAAATGGTCAGATTTATAATGGTAAAATTTCTAAATGGCCAAATTTAAAATAATTTTTGGGAAATTAATTTAAACGGATGAATGAATAAGCACAGAACTAAACTCTTTTAAGTCCCATTTCAGATATATTTAAACTATGAGTTTTGAATCGGCTATAACATTTTTGGAAAGCCATAAATTTTGAATCGGCCCTAGAATTTTGAATTGGCCAAAAATTTTCTTTTTAAGTTCCTGAATAAATTTTTCTCTTATTTTTAGTAATACAGCCATAAAGAAATATATTTTATTTTTTTTTTTTAACTACCATGAATTTATATTATTCTCCAATTAAAACAATTTTTTTAAATTAAATGTTGTTGTTGTTGTTAAGTATTCTACATAGCTAATAGTACATAGAATAAATTTAGTAGGTACCTAAGTACCCAAATGTAAACCATCACCTTTTGGTGGAAAACTTCAATTGGGTGGAAAAGCATCACCTTTTTTTTGTAGGCCATAATGAATTAATAAATATTTTTGTAGGGCCATGAATAATTATTTTCTTCTTTATCTTTTTTTTTTTGTTAAGGCCAATATGAATAATTAATTTCTTCTTTATATTTTTTAAGGCCAATATGAATATTTTTGTTGTTGAATATTATTATTATAAAATGCGCTAGTAGGTACCTAAGTACCCAAATGGTGGAAATAGACATCACCCTTCCCGGGGAAATAAATGAATTTACCATGCCCTACTAAAGCCTCCCGGGCCGGTCCGTGCACTGACCGGACCCGGGGAACGCGACGGAACTTTCCCTTACCCACGAAGGGTAAGGAGTCCGGTGCTACCAGTTAAATAGGGGCCCGCCTATTTAAGAATAAGGAATTGAAGGTGGAAGATATTAGAATCCCAGAGGTGTTAAGAGCTGAGTAGGGTTAATGGTTTCGGTATACCGCTTGATCTAGCATTTAGCTGACCGTAATCAATAATATAAGCTCAGTTGGAATGTTCTTCAACTGGATAAAAGAGTGACTCACAGTCCAGGCCGACTGAAGCGCTTTTCCCTATTTTCCTTTTGATTATAAGCTTCTTCTCTATAGGCGGGTCTATCGCTTGTTTCTCACTGATTACACTTTGCAACTTCCTATTGCCTAGCGTATGAATTCCGCCTTTCCCTATTCACGTGAATTTCCTTTTTGGCCTTTTAATCAAAGTCCACCTAGCTCTCGGATTTAACTTTAGAGTCTAACAATATTAACAATTCAGATGTTTGCACAACAGGTAGAAATTATCGGCACTTATTTACTCCTCCCTAGTCATTTTCGGTAAATATGTAAGAACCCGTCGAGCTGTGTCGAATGACACCAAAATCAACGTGATTGGACAAGATTTGACAAAGTTATGACATAAGTTACCGACTTTGATAAGTCTACCTAATGTCATAACTTTGTCAAATCTTGTTCAATCACGTGGATTTTGGTTTTATTCGACACAGCTTGACGAGTTCTAAACTTACCGAGAAAATTGCCTTGGTAGGGGGAAGTAAATAAGTACCGAAATTATCTACATAGAATATCACCAGAAAATATAGTAAAGCCGTTGTTCCCGGATCCCAGTGCCTTTCTTTTTACTCAACATTATTTAATAAATCTTGGAGAAAAAATTTTTTTAATGGAATATTAAAACATATTTCACTTACAAGGGAACATTGTTTACTGTAAGTGCGAATTTGGCATTTCTTTTGGTACCATTCGATAGAGGATCCTCGACTTAGTAGTGTGTGCAAGAAAACGGATAGCGTCACAATACTAAGTTGAGGATCCTCTATCGAATGGTACCAAAAAATATATCAAATTCGTACTTACAGTAAACAATGTTCCCTTCTTAGAAGAATTGAAAAAATGTTGAAAACCGACAACCTGAAACCCGAACCCAGGAAAAATTTTCGGCTGTACTTTAGCCGGTGGCCCACTCAGAAACGGGACAAATTATATACCATTCGATTCGTCTCGGCGAGCTGAGTCGAATGGTACTATTCTTTTTTTGCGGAAATGCCTACGAGCCGAGATATAGGTCCTTGAAAACCGAAAAACCATAGAGGGGAGTAAGCACAATTTTGGGGTGAAAAATTCAAATATGGAAATGATAGCTCATTCGAAAGAGCTCCTCGAGCTGAGTCGAATGACACCAAAATCAGCGAAATCCGACTTGATTTGACAAAGTTATGAGCATTAGTTTTAGCTCCTTACCTTTGGTATACGTGCAGGTTTTTGTTGCTCGGGAGGAAGCCAGACATGCCGACCGCAGCTAAAATAGGCATAAGTTTATGTTACGAGCCCAGACTCAGCGCCCGTAGACTCCCCGCGAGGCGCGTGCCGCAAAACCCCGCGCGAAGCGCGGGGTTTTGCACAAGCGCCTCGCCTACGCCCCATAGGTTTAGGTTTTAGTTTTTCTATTGTAACTTTGTCCAAACTTTTACAATCAAGCTGATTTTGATGTCATTCGACTCAGCTCGACGAGCTCTTTCAAATGAGTTATAATATGGTTAAAAAATTTTCAATTCCAATAATCGCCCCTTTGGATCTTCGGTATTTAGGGGTCTATATCTCGGTCCAATCAAGTCGGATTTCGTTGATTTTGGTGTTATTCGACTCAGCTCGAAGAGCTCTTTCGAATGAGCTATCATTTAAAAAATCGAATTTTTCATCACAAAATTGTGCTTACTCCCTCCTATGGTTTTTCGGTTTTCAAGGACCTATATCTCGGCTCGTAGGCATTTCCGCAAAAAAAGAATAGTACCATTCGACTCAGCTCGCCGAGACGAATCGAATGGTATATAAATTGTCCCGTTTCTGAGTGGGCCACCGGCTAAAGTATATCCAAATTTTCAAACCCGACCCGACTTTTTTCTCAACCCGTTACATCCCTGTATAACAGAAAAAATCAGAATTATACCTAAATTTAAACATTAAGTTTTATGTAAACGACATCAATCAAGTTCCTGTCTTTATCTTTACTAATGGAATTTTCTTTGAATTTATGAAAAATAATTTTAACAAAATTATTTACAATATTTTTATAATTATTGGGCAGTTTTTTTTAATTATAAATTTGTATGGATTGTGTGCCCAATTTGTTTTTAGATATTTAATTCTGAACAGGTAAAACATAAATAAATCAGAATTTGTTTTAAATAATCTGAATTAGAGGTGAGCACATTGCGTGTTTTAACGAAATTAATGCAAAAAATGTACCCAATCTGAGGACAAGATTGGAGAAATCTGGCCTCTTTTTCCAAAATTCTCGAAATTTTCGCCTGCGGTGCTAAAAAAGGATTAAGAGTGGTTAAGGGAAATATCAGTTTGATGATTTGGTGGGTTAAGGGTAATTCGAAGCAACTCGCAATCCGCAATTGCGTGCAGCCCTGTTCCAAACACATGATATTCTCCGTATCTTGATAAATCTCCTTGATCCTCTATATCCGCGATACCCTTCGTAATCCTCTTGATATATTATCCATTCAAACCCTTATATGTTCGAGTAGGACACGATGACAAATAGTGATACTTCAATTTTTAATTGAAAAATGGGCAGTAGGTGATAAATAGAGACCGGATATTTATGCATTAAAAATGCGAAATATCCACTATAATATGCAGGAAAAAATACCGAAATATGCACGAAAATATGCAAGAAAAATACAATTTATACCTTGAAATTTTGGCCTTGCGTTTCCCCTACGCTCACCACTGATCTTAATTACTATAATTCAAAAAAAGTTGATCTCAAAAAAGTAAACATAAATTGACAGAAACATGAAAATCAACTTTAAAACATATATTTTGTATATGTTTTCGGCTGTTTTAATTGTTGGTTTGTTATATAATCTGCTTGGAATTTACGTTGTGCAATATAATGATGGGGGTATTAAATTGTTCGATCAAGAATATCTGAACAAAACTTTTCCTTATGTTATGCTGAAATTTGTATCAAAATTAAAAATATTTCAATAAATTTATTGGCGGTGTCCGGAAAGTTGGGCCTAGCGACCGATGACTCATGCAAGGCGCGTGCCACAAAAATCCGCGCGAAGCGCGGATTTTTGCACAAGCGCCTTGCCGATGCCCATAGGTTTAAGTTATTTGATTTTGTGTTATTTTCGTATAAATAAAGAAGTTCACTCTGACGCCCATAATTCCCCGCACCTAAAATTTTAGAGCCCAATTTTCCATTTCTTTCACATAGAGCCCAAATTTCCGCTGGAGCCCAATTTTCCAGAGCCCAAAGTTCAGGGACTAATTATTTGCATACTTAAAATGAGGGTGACGGGTGCCTTTCTTTGTAAATATGTAAAAAATGGTGGAGCCCAATTTTCCAGAGCCCAAATGATATTATGTATACCTTCATAGTCGATTTTGGTGCATCCGACTCAGCTCGACGAGCTTTATACATACCCTTTGATAGACTGACCATTTTTTTACATATTTACAGAAAAAGGCACCCGACACACTCATTTTCAGTAGTGCCACTTTATTATTTTTTTGTAGGAGGATTTCTTCTCATTGATCTTTAGCCTCTTTATGATAATTCCATACATTATAATTTTTATTTGTGGATTCAAAATGGTCTACTATGTTAATTCACATACTGGATTTGATCAAAATTTGAAGAGATTGCTTAGGCAATTGACAAAAACTTTGATAATTTTGGTATATAATTTACGGGTACAGCCCAAATAGGCGTGCGGCCATTACGCCGCTTGGCTATAACTAGCTTCAACATTTCCAAATCTTACCATATTTAGTATCAAACGATTCCTCTAATCGAACTAAAGAGATTGGTACCGAAATTGATAAGATCTAGAAATCTACCAGCAAGTTATGGCTTTGCGCCGTTATGGCCCGCGCCGACTTGGGGCGTGTCCCATAATTTACTTTTTAATTTAATTTTAATTAAATTTTAGACAATTATTCCATCTATGAATCAATTGTTTGTTTTATTAATAATGTTTTTTAAATATACGGATACAGACGATACAACTAAAGTAAATCATATGAATCTAGTTGCTATACTTTATGCAATGTTCACTCATTTTACACCCGTTTTTAACCCAATTGTTTGCATATTAACTAATAAGCCGTACAAAGAAGCTGTTTTAAATCGTTTAAGAATACATCCACAACAGGGGTGGACCTAGCTGGCAAAATACGAGACACGATATTTCACGAGATACGAGACTAAACCCCACCCCTGATTCACAATGTTTATATTTGACTGATTAATTTGAACGTTTAATTAAGACTAAAATTTGTTTTAAATTAAAATTATCGTCTCTATAATTTTATAAATGTTTGAAAAATTTTCATTTTTCGTAATTATTCTCTTTTTGTTGTTTATATTGTATGCTCATTAAAGTAACTTTTAAGTAAACAAAGTTATATTTCATGTAATAATATCACACGATTTTTATTAAAAAACTTTTCTCAAAAATTGTATTTTTAAAAGTTATTAGTGTGAAACATTTTAATAAAAAATTAAACATTAATTTTACTTTTTTTTAAACTTTTAAACTTCAAAAATTAATTAAAAAATAAAAAAAATGTCCATGGATATACTGGATATTTTATTTAAATTTGATTATTTTGTTTGTTTATTACTTGGTTATCCTCTAAACATTATTCTGATTATTTTAATTATTTTTAAAACACCAAAAGAAATGGAAACACACAGCAGAATTCTGATACAAAATTGTGTTTTGGATATTTTAACGTTGACTGTTCAAATGTTTGCACAAACGGTAAATGAAAAAATAGACATGTTACAACCGGGGGTTGTCCGGTTATGTCCGAGGGTTGTCTAACGTAGATGTGCACAAGAATAACAGTTTATCCAATGTAGAAATGTACAATGAAAGCGACTCGCCCCGCTAGTATGATCCCGCTAGACTGACACTTTCACTTGCTTTTATACTATAGAGAAGAGATCGAGCTGGACCAGGACCAAGGCCTGGGTTTTTCCTGTACCCAGAGTCCAGGTCCAGGCATTTTTTGACCTTCCTGGGTTTTTCCTGGACTACAGGCCCAGGATCCGGTTCAGGTCAAGAAATAAACTCCAGAGTCCAGGAACAGGTCCAATAGAGACATATCACTACACAACGGAGCAGTTCAACTGAGTCCCAACTCAACTGAGTCCCGGCCCTATAACTCAGCAAGGAATGGTCACTTTTTAATTTTTTTGGTATCATTGGATAGAGAATCAAAAGCTCTACAATATATCAAAAAATCAGAATTTTTAACCGATTGATAAAAAAGTTATGATCTAAAAGCTAACTTTTTCAAAAAAATCTGATTTTTCGGCACTTTATCGATCATAACTTTTTTACCAGTCGGGCAGGAATTTTGATTTTTTGGTATATTGTAGCCTATTTAATGCCCTATCCAATGGTACCAAGAGTAACAAAAAATGACCATCCCTTCATAAGTTATAGGGTCCGGGACTCAATTGAGTCGGGACTCAATTGAGGTGTACCGCTACACAACACAAATCCAAAATTAAATTAAAAATTAAATCAGAAATAAACCTAATAATAAAAATCCTGAATTAAATTTAAATATTAAGTATTTTATAAATGACAGCAATTCAAATTCATTTTTAATTTTTTTCAACGGCATATTTTTTGAATATATGAAAAATAATTTTAACAAAACTATTTACAATATTTTTATAATTATTGGAACCTTTATTAACTTTATAAATTTGTATGGATTGTGTGCCCAATTTGTTTTTAGATATTTAGTTCTGAACAGGTAAAACATTGATATTTTAATCAGAATTAAATCAGAATAGAGTAAGAGCGAGGTAAAAGTTTAATTCCAGTCAGGCTACGATCCTGCGACCTTCTGGCAGTTATTGCTAGGCGCTCACCACGTACAGGTGCTCTACCGACCGAGCTACCTGGACGCTGCTTTCACCATCTCTTTTATTAGATCCTAAAACCCCCCCCCCCCCTAAATGCCAGCTAGCCAGCTAGATCTTTCTCTTCCATACAATAGTTTATCTCAAGTTCTGAATTAAGTAATAGACTAACTTTCCCTCGTATTAATTTAGCCTTCTAATTGGTGGATTCGTCACACCCCACAAGTGTGGATATATATTGTAGTGATGTTCGGGTGAAGAAAAAACACACAGGAGTCGGAATTGGGAGGCCAAAGACTCGGGAAATTTTCCCGAATCGGGAGTCGTGATATCCGAACATCACTAATATATTGTGACCCCAAGAGTGGTTCGCCACTCTAGCCGTCTAGCCCATAATCAAAGAGAGATTAGGTAACCATATATCCTTTAATAACTGCCCTGTGTAATTATTGTTTCGACCTTCCGCTAGAGGGTGTAATTAATCGAGGGAGGGATACTAGGTTTGTAATTTGAACGTGGTATAGGGCATGGGGGAGGTAATTATTGTTTCAATCCATCGCTGGATGGGGTAATTAATGGAAGTGGGGTATTATTTGAGGGAGGGTAATTAATACAGGTTATACTACGATAATTATAAATACCGAAATTAACAGAAACATGAAAATTGACTTTAAAACCTATTTATTGTATATGTTTTCAACTGTTCTAATTATTGGTTTGTTTTATAATCTGATCTGGTTTAACTTTGCTATGCACTTTATTGATGGGGGTATTAAACTGTTTCAAGAAGAATATTTAAACGAAACACTGCCGTTTGTTACAACCAAATTCGAGGTAACAGAATTAGTCTACATAATATATATTTTAAATTATTTTAAATTATTATGGTTGTGATTTTTATGCAAATGCATATTTTTTTGGCAAACTTGTCATGATGTTAATGCACATAAACACTGTTTACGAATTTTTTTGAAAACTCTAGAGGAGGTTTCTATTCGCATATAATGCATATTTTTGCATATTTCGGACTTTGCTGCATAGTGCATATTTTAATGCATATTTTGAGGTTTTTGGAGAAAATATTGCGAAAATTGCCCAAAATCTTGCCAAAATTGTGAAAATGTTGTAGAAATCTAGGAAAAATTCTAAATTAAATTTTTTTGTCTATTGGGCGCAAATCTATTCTAAATCCCGATCCCGACAAGGGCCAATCCTGATCCTGTGTTGGGATTCGGGATCGGTATAACCATTCCGCTAAACTCCCCGATCCGCTGAACTCTAATCTCTACTTGTACGATGAGACTTTTTTTTGGAAGGCCTCAATATATTCCTGAACATTTTCCGAGTACCCTCCCCTTTCGTCCCTATTATATGTTTTTTTTCAGTATTATTCTCTACACTTAAACCTTTCTGCAGTACTACTTGCATTTTTTATAATTTCTGTTTGTGGGTTTAAAATGGTCCATTATGTTAATTTACATACTGGATTAAGTCAAAATATGAAGAGATTGCTTAAACAATTGACAAAAACTTTGATAATTTTGGTATATATTCATTTTACAAATCTGAGTCTTGTTATAGTGTATATCAGGGAACGTGCCGTCCCGATTTCTTATTAGACCTCGATATCCCTCCATTCCCCAATATCCTCTTATTCCCCACTTAGGCATCCCTAATCCTTCGGTACATCCATGTTAATCCCTAAATACTCTTTAGGGATTACCTGTTTGCATTGGCACTAGAATGTTTAGAGAATAGCCTCCTTCCTTACCTCAGCCTCTGCACTGACCCCCGCCATTGACTAACAAAAATCTTGAAATTCCCAAAAATTCCCGAAAATCGGGAATTTCCCGTCGTTTTTTGGATGGGAATTCCCGATTCCCTGGTGTATATTGAGAGTCAACTATGTTTAATTCTAAATTTTAGACAATTATTCCATTTATGAATCAACTTATTGTTTTTGTACATGGCATACTTTTTGCAAAACCAAACAATTATTATGGAGAATATAACCTAATATACATAATACTTTTAATTATTACTCATTTTACACCCGTTTTTAACCCAATTGTTTGTATAATAACTAATAAGCCGTACAAAGAAGCTGTTTTTAATCGTTTACAGATACATCCACAATGATTAATGTTCTTGTTTGACTGACTTATTCGAACCTGAAACTTGTCCTTTGCTTATATAATAAAAGAAAAAGCTTTAAAAAATTCATTATTATCCGAACACCAAAAAGAAAAAGCTTTTTCTTATCTCCTCCCAACTAAAACTTTCACATTTTGTATTGAATAAAGACAATGTTAATCGAGTTTGTTTTAATCGTTCTTCATTAGTGCCGGGGACCGGACTCCCAGGGTGTCTCTCGCAGGCCGGTAGCCAGGGGTGGGAAGATGGCAGTAACCAAGATGACAGTAATTGATGGGGCTTTACTCCCAAAATTTTTGGCGCCTGCAACGCCTAAAGACAGTTGCGAAAACGACGAATTTTTTAAAGGATTATGAAATAAATTAATTAATTATTTAATTAATTAATAAGCCCTTATTATAATTGCACTTTTATAAATGACGATATAAAAAATGGCGGCGATTTGCTTAGAGAAAATTTTCTTTTAAAAAATATTTTTTATTTGGCATTTTTGCACTGAATCATGCGTCTATTTCATAATGCCGACAAAAAGAATTTTTTAATTTTTTTGTCGGCAATTACATCATTATAAAAAAATATTATTTAAAAAAGTGCAAATTAAACTGAATAAATAGCCGGTAAAATTAATTATTAACCCATTACTAAATTTAAAAAATATTTCTTCAAAGCATGTTTAAAAATTTATTTTTCCCTTTTCTTTCTCTCTTAATTTTTTACATTTCTACGGGATATTCTAAAGCTATTAAGGATTATAGTTATGCTGAATTTCCGGCAAAATCTACTGAGTTTGTTTTTCTATTTTTTGTTTAGAGGGCATTCAGGGGTAGACATATTAAGGCCAACGGGTTCGGATCTGAAAAAAGACCAGATATCCGAAATTTTCGGTTCTGACATCGAATCTCGGTTCGATATCAGATCTTGGAACTCGGTTATATCGGATTTTTCCAGAATCCGCCAACCTTAGTAGACAATAGAGATCGGTCTGGATCTGGAGCCAGTCTGGATTTTTCCTGGATCCATATCAAGAATCCTGTCCAGGTTACTAACTTAAATCCAGATCAAGAATCCAGATCCAGGATTTTTGAAAATATCGATCCCTAGTAGACGATGCCTAAAATGGCATAGCAT